TAGAACGGTCTCTTTCAGTGAGAGACACCACAGTTTCATTTAGTGAGAGTCAAAGTTTATGCTGTGAAATGCTTAAGTTCAAGTGAGTAAGGATCTTTTACATCACTGTATTTTCTGTGATCTTTTGCCTTTTCTATTCATTCATTGCATGTCTGCCTTTTTGTTTCACCAAAGAATGTCTTTTTTCCATTTAGTTAGAGAAGGAAAACTTGGTGGCCTGTTTTGTTTAAACAAAAAGCTTGCAAAACACAGCCGGCCTCTGTGGCATGTGGTTGGAATTGGGTATATTTTGACATACAGTACCTATGGGAGCTAATGAGAGATGCAGTCATTTGAATTCTAACAGCACTGAATAGTTAGCATTAAGATTTAAACACCACTGAATTCATAGAATTTAAATGTTTTACTTTGAAAACCACATATCTGAATTTATTTCTGAATGAAATTTCAAATAGAAAATTCAGTCAAATTAATTTGGTCAAATTCTGATTTTTTTTTTTTTTTTTTTTTTTTTTAAAAACAGTCAAAAAATTTCAAATAGCTTTTTGAAAAATTCAAGTTACTTTTTTTTCTTTTCAAAATTTAAAATTGTTTGACCTTATTTTTTGTAATAGCAAGTTCAAGTCAAAGAGTTTCAAATACCTGAAAATGGATTCAACAGATTGAATTTGACACATTTTTCCATTGGAAATTTTTCAGCTTGAACTTTTAGATCTCAGTTTCACCAAATGAACCTGAATCTTTTTCAAGAAATTCTGAAACTTGAATTTCTGGATCTGAATTTGTGAACACTGGAAAAAAAAATCAAATTCAGCTTTTGAGTTGCAAATCAAGAAATTTCACATTTTGTTTTTAAAGATGTTAATTCAGAGCAAATAAATTCAGATACATGGATTTAAAATATTGCTAAGATCTGCTATGAATAAAGTGGTGTTTAATCTTCAATATTAAGTATTCAAGAACTTCTGTCTCTGCCTTGCTTCCATAACTTCCCATCATTAATCAAAATAGAGTTGATTTAGAATAATTGAGTGTTTGCCACTTCTTACATCAGGAGCTAGCTGGGAGGACGATTGTAACTGTTTTTTGTTTAGTTTTGATTTTGTCATGAATTTGTGTTTAAAACAGAATGCTGTGTTGACTCTGATGGGCCATGAACGTCAGTTCTCCATGTTATTAGAAACTGAGAGAACAGGCTGCTGCTCAATGTTAAAATAATACGTAGTGAGAATCTGTGCCAGTCAATGCACCTGTTTCAGACATCCCCAGAGTTCATCCATCTACAGTCAGAGACAAGAAAGCACAACATCAGTGTGAGTAAAATATGAAATGTTTACTTGACGCTACAAATCAACGGTTATTGCCACATTCTTCACTTGGCCTTTTCAAATCTGTTGTCTTAAACCGTTTTGACATGGACTGTACCATTTTGTTAATTCAGTGTGAACTATCAGTGCAATTAAGCTACTTTTTCTAGTCCTTGTATTGATTGAGCAGACTGGGGATAAGTCTTTATCTATCTTACTTTATCTTTGAGCCTTTTTTCCTACATGGCCACGTTATCAGAGTCCACATCGACTGTGTTTTAGTCTCAGCTTTTGGACAATGTTATCCCTTTTTGCTTTCCATGCGGTCTGAAAAGCAGCTTTGTTCTTCATTTTTAGTGGAGTTGCGTTGTGAACCCTCCTATTTATGTATCTAGTTACCTCCCTTAAGTGCTTAGCTCTACTCCAAGGACAATTTTGTAACTTTGCCTGTTTCACTAATGCGTCTTAAATGTCCCCCAACACCCCCCTCCCTGCCAGTATTGCTGTTGCCATATGCAGTACTTGAAAAACGGTTAATAATTCAGGTGTTGTGGATGCTTCCTCACTCCTTGATTCTCCCTCCCATTTTGATTGATGGTGAGCAGGAAGTTTGTGCCAGAAAATATTCAGTCAGTTGTTGACGGTTTTGGGGATTTTGTTGTCTTTCTTTCTTTTGTTTTTCAAGTTGTAAACTCGACTCATATTTAAGACATACAAGCACCTTTTTTTTCCTCTGAAAAGATGCAAAAATTTCATTTAATTCAGCACCAAAGTCACCGTGTTCTGTTCTCTTCAAGTCTACACAGTTGCGTGTGTATATAAGGTACAAAATCACACTTTTTATCGTGTGACAGCCGTTTTGTTCTCATCACTTTTGTGTTGTAGCTGAGGTGTTAGGGGTTGTTGATTTTCTTGTGAGGAAGACTTTGTGGCCTTTCTTCTGGAGATGAACGGTTGTTGGTACAGAGCTATAAAAAAAAAATTTAATGGGCAGCCAGATGAACTGACTGTCAGAAAGACAAATAAATGAGATTATGTCTGAAAATGTGGGATCTTCCATTCTATTCTATATAATTTAAATCAGAGTGGGGCTGATCTGGAGATATTTTATAATACGCTTGGATTTGTATGTTTGAATTTTTTTCCTCAGGATCTGTTTTTGTTTTGAGTTTTTAAAACGTGATATTTTATTGGTGTGACATTTTGCACTGCCTCATGTATTTTAAATTCATGTCATTTTTTTGTGTGTTTGTCTTTGTTGCCTTGAATTATTGAATACATTGTGCTTTATCATCACTCACCTTGAGGTTGCTCTTTTGTTGGCTTACATCAAATTAGCCTCCTCTTCTTTTTTTCTTTTCTGTTTTACACACTTTTCAGGGCTAGATTTTCATTCCATACAAGCAGCTCTTGTTAGGAATAAAAAACATCAGTCAGGAGAATTGATACATCTTGAGTTTTTCGTTAACCTCAGCTTTTCTAGGAGCAAAGCCAGTCAAAAACAAACGGGAAGGATAGCAAGAGAAGTGTGTGAAATGTATATGTCCAGCACTTGATTCAACCTATTTAGCTCCTCACCAGCCTTTTTTCTGGCCTGTACAGTAAGTACATCTCACAGTTGAATGAATAAGAGTGGAATGAAGATCTGCTCTCTTTTTTTTCACATGGGAACCAAAGAATTGCTGCCATTCCATCCAAATTTTTAAACACAGTCCTAACGTGAAGCTAAAGGTTCTTGATTTCTTTCATCCTTTTTTCCCCCCTCGCCTGGTAAAGCAGTGAATAAACCAGGGGAGGAAAACATGTCATGTCTTGTCATCAGATTTGTTGTCACCACTAATTAATCCCCTGCCATGACACCAAATATCCTTGAAATCTTCCTGCTAGAAGAGTCTTAAATTGCTCTGTAATTAATGTAAATTTGATTGAGATGACCATTTTTCATCTTGTTGCTACTCCTCCTTTGTTTTTCTTCTCATTTTCAAAGCAACTGAACATGTGAGATGAATTTAAACTGAGACAAATTTGAACAGCAAAACATCTGCTAATGTGTCCATCGTCCTGGCAGCAGACCATACACACGCAAATGAGGTCTTACAGCCACCGATCACACGGTGTGAGTGTGCGAGACAGCGAGTGTGAGCTTAAATATGAGTCCTACTGTAAAATTATACATGTGTTGGATTAAGGAATGCTCCTCTGGGGGGTTGTAGGCAGCAGCAGGTGGACTGAGAAATGTATTGGAGACGCCTGTTCTGACTGATGTGGCATATATCTGCAAAATGGGAAATGCTGATAAATGCTGTCTCTTTTTAATAAATGTGCTATTTTATTAGAATGTGGTGCTGCTGTTTTTCCACTCCTGACACCCCGCAGTTGCCCAGTTGAGGTGTTATGGCAGTAACTTGGTCTTTAAAGGGACAGTTCAACCCAAATCCAAAACACACATTTTTACCTGTAGTGCTATCTATCAGTCTAGATTGTTTTGGTGTGAGTTGCAGAGCACTGACGATATCAGTCTTCTTTCAAATATAATGGAGTGAGGGCACTTTAAATGTTGCTGCAAAGGAGCAACATATTCTAAAATATAAATGCTTTTCACATATCTTCATCCTGGAAACCCAGAAGATCTAAACAATCAGCAGAGTTTGAAGTTGGACACTCGAAATTAGTGTCACCACTTCAGTATCTGACCAAATGTCTCCCCTTCTGTTTCTGAGTTGGTGTTGAATAATGGCCAGAAGTGTTTTTGCAGGACATTATGATGATAAAGTGAAGTTGTCCTTTGATCATTTGGATATAAAATTTCATCATTTTATCCTATTGGACATTTGTTTAAACTTTTGGCGCAATTAGCATGTGAGTTCTTGAGTTATGGCTAAAAGGCATGATTTGTGAGGTCACAGAGACCTCTGACCACCAAAATCAGTTCATTGTTGAGTCCAAGTGCCCTTAAGGTGTGCTTGAGATGTCGCGTTCATGAGAATGGGACTCATGGACAGACTTTTGTACGTACAGAAAAATATAAACGTAATACCTCAGAAGTATGGAGGCTTAAAAACTCAACAGAGATGTCTCTTACCAGAAATTTTGACCTAGTTACGCAAGATAATCCACGGACCTTGTGAGCAGTTTCATGTAGGAACTATTTTCTCCCTACTGAACTACACCCACCACTTTTCATCAGAGCACACAAGCCCAGTGCCATCTAGTTCCAGTATATTCAAATGAGGGCAGACATCTTCACAGCCGATACACTCGGCAACTCACACCAAAACAATCTAGACTGAGGAATAGCACCACAGGTAACATCAAAAACATGTATTTTTGATTTCAGGTCGAGCTGTACCTTTAACAGTATCTTGTGTTGACTTTGAGTTGTCTTGTAACAAGTGCTGTGCCTGTGAATATACAGCATCTGAAGTGTGAAGCATCTTGGAAGTACACGAATGCTGAAATACCACAAAACTCTAGTAATCACAGTTAAGTTGAGCAGGGTCACAGCACATGTACAGGCCCTTTGTTTGTCCAGGTGTTGTTTCTTCCACCTTTTACCACCAACTGTGAAAACCTCTTAAAATAGAACTGCATATCTGAAAGGTGTCGAGACAGAATATCCAAAAGAGGAACACAGCTGAACAAAGTCCACCAACAGAAACGGCCACACACTTGATGTCACGAGCCACTGTTAGATCAAGCTTTAATAACCAAAGAATGACTCCATAAAGTCACAGTATATCATATTCACTCTTTACATACATATATATATTTTACAAAAAATATAAATTAATAGATTTGACATTGAAGTGCATCATTTCCGTGTAAGCTTTGAGGTTGTGTGTCTTTTGAGCTAGAAAAGATTAGACAGGTGAGATGTGTCCATGCAGAGCAGTCCAGTCTCAGTTTGCCTTCACCTGTAGTACACAGCCATGAAAGGTGTGTGTAAGAGGTGCACGCCACCAGTTCCACAGGACACCGCTGATCCAGCCTGACTGCAGCCCAGGACCAGGCCCAGCTCCTGAGCAGTCAGTGTGCTGGCAGCCCCATCCCCCCACACATCACCATTAGCGTCCTGCAGGGCCCCAGAAGCAGGCTTTTCCCCTGGTGGGTACCCCCTGGAAGAAGACACCACCCGCCGCATGTTCACCAAGCTGGGACCCCCTCCAGCACCAACTGCCACCTCCTGCAGACTCTGGAAAAGGAACAGCAGATCCACTCTCAGCTCCACTGTGTTGCCCCGTGACCACAAACTGTACCTAAAGGAGGCAAGAGACGACAGGGTTACAACCAGGCCACCAGTTAATTCTTTTGTTTTTGGAGGCTCTCAGGGTGAAATGAGGACTTTCTGTAAAACAGGAAATCATTAAAAGATCCTATCAAGTTTTTTTACCTTGTAGGATGGTCTCGCTTTGCCATATATAGAAGCACAGGATGGATATCCAGATGTTGTGGGTTTGAGAGTTGGAGGTGAAGCTCGGCTCTTACGATCGTCAACGATAAAATCTCTCTGGTGAGGAGAAACTCCACATCCGTGCCTGTGGAGAAGAAGAGGCAGTCAGGAGTCTGTCATCACAGTGCAGTTATAAGACTGAGCTTTTCCTGTCACAGAGCAGCACATACACACCCGTCACACTCTGGTTTGATAAACTCCAGGGATCAGAGTAGGATCTCCAGCACAGAGGTCATGTTTTCACTCCTAATACCTTGTTAATCTGTCAGCAGGGTATCTCAACACCTCTTGGAGGGAACATTAAGCCAGCTAAGACTCATTTGTATGCAGATAACACCGTCCTCTATACAGCTGCATTAATCAGACCATTAACGTTCTCCAAAGTGCTTTTCAAGCACATCAGCTTTTAGTTCTATGGCTTATGACATTCCTGCACTGTGTCACTCTATTAGCACCAAATATATATGTTTGCATATGGCTGCATATTTTACTGTGAAATAATGTGCATGTTAACTGAATGGGCTAAAGAGAATTTAAGTCAATTTGATTCTAAATGTACTTTCAATGAGCAAAGCTTCTCTTTTTCTCTATTACAATTTGTATTCCACACATCTTGCTGTAGATATCTTGAAACTTAATGAGCGTACATGACAGACTAAATGTAAGTTAAAAGGATGACTTTTTGAAGACTGTTCTCCAAAGTTTGGAGGTTTGCCCTTTCAACCCTCTCTGGATTGTGGTCTACAGGCCTCAAGTCCAGTTGTGAAGACACCAGCTTCTGTGGTTACAATAACTACATGTATATGTGGCAGTGAGTTACATTTAGCAGAATTAAATCACAGGTAAAATAAACTGGATCTTCACTTTTTCTGAGCTCTGGAGCCCATCAGGGGCCCCTCCTTGTAAATCATCATGACCAGCGCAACACATCCAACAAAATTCAGTTGTAGCGTAGGAGGAAGAAACTTAATTACACAGTATATGTTTCAGCTGAGACTACTTTGTCTTACCTCCTCTCAGGCGACCTTGAATTCCCTTTACGCTCCTGCAGTTTAGTCCGTCTTGACAGCAGTGGTAAACCCGGCGGACAAAGCTGAAAAGATATTTCCCTGGGAATACCAGGCCCTGTGAGGCCCCCAGGGAAAAAGGCCGAACACGGAGCTGCAACAGCGTTGCATGATCCTCAGGAGCTTGTCGTGCGTTTTCCAGCCAAGGGACCGCCAGCACCGCGCACCGCTCCCGGTGCGTCTCCGTAATCCCGCGCCTCCATCGCCTCAAAGCGTCCGTGCGTAAAGTGGATCCGGAGGATACATGTGCAGTCTCCACCGACTTTGACAGAAATCCCAACGTGTCTACTGCACGACCAAATACTCTGATGTGACTTGTCAATGCCGACAGAAGAAATAAAGCAATCCAAATGCAGTGCGAGGAGGCCATGGTGATATTTCCAACTTCAGGATCTTCACTGATGGATAACGAGCAGCGTCTCTGTTGTGCCAACTCTCTCTCTGTCTCCTATATACCCCGCTGACAATAGGGACATCTTACCACTTAGAATTTGAATCCTGACCCTCCTCACAGACCCTGCCCCTCTTTTTGTTGGAGCCCTCAACCATCAATTTGCCCCCCCACTGCTTCCTTTCAATGCGCTTGCATAATGAGGCGCCCCGAAGAGCGCCGACCCCAACCATTCAAATTCATCTACTTAGCTAATGACTCTAATGACTCCATATCTGGGACATCAAGAACCATCTTATTTACAACACACACCGCGCAGAAACATTCGGACAGAAGGTGAATAATAACATTTTACGAGCATGTGTTTGGCCCTCCACATAGCTTTGCGCACGTCCTTCTGCGGGCCACTTGTAACCATTTCGAAACGAGGCGTTAAGCCTGAGGTGGAAAACAATGGGGGCAGATTGCAGGGTCACATGCAGGCTGCTGATGGCCCTAATAAGGCAGTGTAGCCCCTGTGGTTTTAAACAAGCGTTCACAAAAGTAGCTCACAAGACTCAACACTGAGAGGATCATGTATTCATTTAATTTCCACTAATGATGCACCACAGTATACCACAGTGTGTCTCTTCCCAGCGTGCTTACAATACAGACTTTTTAAACAAATGACGCTTTCTAAAAAACCTGATCTAACAGCCAAATAGTTAAATAACACATTTAATGCTACTAAACAGCTGATTTGAAATAAATATACAATTTTATAAACAGTATTTTAGATTATTTTATAAATGTGTTTAATACACCAATACTGTTTTGCAGTGTGTGCAGCAAAGGAAAGCATGATTCTGTACAAGTGCATGAAGTTATGGTACAAAGATTAAATCTCGCTTTAGTCTAAATTATATGAATAAATACAAGTAAGAGGAATCATTACTTTCGCTGCACTGGGGACATGACTGAATGGAAAATATATGTAAAAGAAAAGGTTGCAAAATGAGTGCAGCGTGTTGACAGGAGCAAAGTTGTGCCACAAGATATAAAAGGTGATGTGTTTAAGCATAACAGAAATAAAATGTGGACAAATAGTACCTAAAAGGCATGGAAAATGATTAAACTATGACTAAAACCTCAGTGTAAACAAAACGTACATTACAAAACCTTACCAGCCACCATCTCTGCCATCCATAAAAATGAGACAAAGTTAAAGTTCTGCCATTAATATGAGTACCATAAGGTTTCACATGCTAACGTCACTATCTGCTGTGGGAATGAGTAAATCACAGCAGAAAGCTTTCACATTCTCAAATGTTCTCTGTTTGTTTTTAGGTCACTCACAGTGCAGCTCTTCATATCTTAAGACAAAGCCACCTTCACGTTCAGAGCAGGTTAACCCCGTGTTTCAGTAGTCTGTGTCGGGCCTTGCTGGGCAGTGAGAAAGCACTGTCCTGGTGGTTAGGGATTCCAGAGTTCCTCAGCGATCCCCCGTGCTGCTGGTAGTAAGTTTCCTGGGCCACGCTGCGGGTTCCATACACAGCAGCTCCAGCACTCCTGCGGTGAAAATGTCACATTTACATTTCAAGCATGTAGGACGATGACATGCAACACAAAAGAGCAAAGTGACATTAGGAAGACATATAGCAACAGAGCTTTGTTTCCCAGCAAATGTGAGCTGTTGGGAGTGTGATCTGCACAAGTAGTGGAAGAACATTTAGATGGGATGTGGTGACAGACAGGATGAACTGACAGATCCAACCCCAACCCCCGACTTCTACTCAAGGAGCCATGAAAGGCACCAGAAACCCCCCCAAACCACCATCATCATCACGTGACTGCAGTACTGACCTGATAATAGCCTCCTGCAGAGTTTCAGTGTTACAGAAATGCGAGTGAAGAAGTGATGTGGCTCTCACAAAAGGCCGCTCCGGGGCTCCCCCTGGTTGACCAGACAAGTTGGCTGCAGAGACACACAATCAGGAGAGGCTCAGTACCACAGTGGCACATGACGCTGGACATGCGTGCCTGCTGCACAAAGGAATGCTGACAATCACGATCTTACTAATTAGCTGTTAGCTCATGCAAAGACAAATACAAACTACCAAACCCCCACCCTCCCCAGTTCCCAGGTAGAAATAGTGAGGCAGAAGATACTCACTCTAGAGCAAAGCTGGGAAACTGGAAAACACAGAATTATCAGAGATATCAGAAAAGCAAATAAGATGCAAAGCAAGTAAGATAAACGCAAAGAGAGTCAAAGAGTGAATGCAGAGTGGAGATAGGTCAGTGTTATGGGAGCCATACTTGTCAGTGTGCTCTGAATGCAGTCAAAATGGGCAAAGATGTAGGGTCCTGGAGCGCCCGGGGCCCCTGGAGAGATGGTCCTCAAATGGGCCTCCAATCCATTGAGTGACGCCAGGCTGCTGTGGTACTAGACACAAACCATAAAAGGAAGAGCCATATGTTAGCAATTGCAGAAGCCAAACTTTCAGTATCATAATGTGACAAAAATGAGAGGACCCCCCACTTATTAGCTGGGTTCCCATTGTTTCTCACCACTTCTTCCATGGACGCCGAGTCACTCAAGAAGTGTGGCTCCACCAGCAGAGCCAGCACCAAGCCTTTTACCCGGTGCAGGTACAGCGTCATGGGAATCAGAGGGCATTCCTCTGGGATGTCCAAAGCACTAAAGCAAGCGGGAGGATCTTGCGTCACAGCCTTTTGGCCTTGATCTCTCCCACAACCACCTATGCTGGACTCTCCCAAATACTTATCGTCATGTGGGGCCACTTCCCCAGACCCAGCCCCTCTGAAGTCAAACACTGTCCCACAAGCTGTGTCTCCATCTCCTCCGCCTCCACCTCCGTTCAGAGGGGAGTTTCCTCCAAACACTGAGCTGTCTTCCTTGTTATGTACATCACTGCCTCCACCTTTGTTGCTGTGAAAACTGTGATAATGTGACTCCTCCAGCGCCTCCTCCTCAGCTTCAGGGGAGTGTTTTCCATTTGAGAAAGGAGGCTCAAGTGACTCCTGTGAGGGGCTGAGCGGACTGCTGGTGCTCTGCGATGGATCTGGGCTGAACACAGAGCTTTCTAATAAGCGGGGGCTGAAGGACACCTTCTGGGGAGACAGGGAGGAACCTAGATAGGACGGCTCTGACTCAGTGGAGGGAGTGTCTGATAGTGTTCTTGACAGGCGGGTCTTCCTTGGGGGGGTGTCTTTGAGAGAAGAAGACCGGGAACTGGAGGGCGGAAAACAGTTTGAGTCAGAAATGTTACACAAACATCTTGTTTTAAAGAGCCTGTGTAAGTTATATACGTGTTCTGTTGCAGTGAAGGAAGACACTACCTAAAATCTTTGTCCACAGGGGCCGATTGCAGGTACTGGAGTTCAGACAGGGTCAGGAACACAGTGGTGGAGCTGACAGCATCGCCAAATGAGCTGAAGGTATTTGGTCCATTTGGTCTCTGGGTCTGAATCAAAATTGAAAGACTAGCTTTAGACTTTTTCTGTTAAAGGAATATATAATACATATAATAGTTCAACATTTTGGTAAACACAAAGTCTCACACAATAAATGTGGAGCTGAAACCAGCTTAGCCTAACCATCTTAGCCTAATATAAAGACTGGATAAAGCCAAGGCTATTAAATGAAGGCTGGGACACAGTCTTTGACCCCATAGAAGCTAAGGGGTATGTCACATGTGCAGTGTAACTGGAGCTGTGATGTTGGAGGGTTACAGCAGACAGAAATTTCATCTAGAACGCCGCCTGAAGTCGGATTTCCAGCTCAGAAAGTTAGAGGAACCTCAAAAACCCAAACCTCACAATCCAAGATGGCTGCTTCGCACATAAACAGCAGTAAAGCTGTTGTAATATGCAGTTTATTAGCACCTCTGTTTTATTTGTGTCTCATTAAATCAGTCATACACACAGTCCTGTACTCCTATCTGTGGACATGTTGCTATGGTGTTTCTATGCACAAAATACAACATAATGAGTTGTTAGAAACTGGTATTGCTAAGAATGGCTAACCTGGCTAGAACTGGCAATGCTAACAACAGCTTGGCTTTTGGACTTGTTGTACTGGAACACGGTCAACTCAGGTGTGATGTCATTCTGAGCACTGACCTCCAAATTCACAGTTATGTAAAATGCAGTATATGATAGTGTGCCAGCTTTTGAGTCTGCTGGGTGGCTGTGGCTCAAGAGGTAGAGCAGGTCATCCACTAATTGGAAAATCCCCGGCTCCTTCAGTCTGCATGTAAAAGTATCCTTGGGCAAGATATTGAACCCCAAATTGTGTAAAAACCGAGTAGCGATTCGTAGCATAAAGAGTGCTTTGAGTAGCTGGAAGACTAGAAAGATGCTATACAAGTGCAAGTCCATTTACCATTTACTGTTTGGGTAAGCGCATACAAGACTTAAATGAGTGTGCGTCATACCCAGAGATGGGACCAAGTCACACATGTGCAAGTCTCAAGTAAGTCTCAAGTCTTAACCTTCAAGTCTCAAGTAAGTCCCAAGTCATTTTTTCTCGGGCAAGTCAAGTCAAGTCACAGGTTATGTCAAGTCAAGTCAAGTCCTGTAATAGGTCAAGTCAAGTCCAAGTCAAGCCACCTTATTATTGTAATTTTACCTGTAGAATCTGATCTTAGCTATATATACATCTCATTAACTCAGCTGTTAACCCAAATCAACTTCATATGCTGTTTTTAACTAAAAGTTACTTCATTTTAAAATCTTATCTATTTCATGTACTGTTTACATAACATATTTTTATATATACAGTACAGGCCAAAAGTTTGGACACACCTTCTCATTCAATGCGTTTTCTTTATTTTCATGACTATTTACATTGTAGATTCTCACTGAAGGCATCAAAACTATGAATGAACACATGTGGAGTTATGTACTTAACAAAAAAAGGTGAAATAACTGAAAACATGTTTTATATTCTAGTTTCTTCAAAATAGNTTAACATATTTATTCCATTTTAAATTATATTTACTTACTTTGCTAAGTTTTAAACCCATATTTATGTCATGATCTGTTTTTAAGCAATATCTAGTTTGTTTACTAGTGTTTTAGCATGTAATAATTACTCGATTTTAAAACCATTACTTCATTTAGTCCATCTCAAACAGTATTCACTCAACTTTACAACCTAAGTTACTTGGGTTACTCAGTTTTAACCAAATTTTAGGTGACTTCATCACTGCAATGTTTACTTTGCAGAGATGACCCCCACGCGCACACACACACACTGACCAAGGCAGCGGCCAAAATCACCCATTTAGCTCATTTAACCCTGTGTTGCTCGTACATAAAATGTACAGCCGGTCTTGTGATGAACCGGTCGGAATGTTCGCTCACGTTTTCTGTGGTTAATGTTAGCAAATAAATTAAAAAACAAGTTCTAGTTTATATTCAAACTGAAAATATGATGTGAATAACACTCAAGTCATTCAAGTCATCGTGTCTCAAGTCAAGTCAAGTCCCGAGTCTTTAACTTCCAAGTCCAAGTCAAGTCTCAAGTCTTTTATTTTTTGTTAAGTCAAGTCACAAGTCATCAAAACAGCGACTCAAGTCGACTCGAGTCCAAGTCACAATGACTCAAGTCCCCATCTCTGGTCGTACCCCAATGATATGATGCAATATGACTCTTTGTCTTAGCTTTATATTTAATAGCCTTGGAAACAAGGGGAAACAGCTGGCCTGGCTCTGTACCTGGGTACAAAATCCACCTAGCATCAACTCTAAAGAAACAGTCTGGCACATGACCACAATAAAATGGCAACTTTGTTTTTACACTTTGATTTTTGAACAGCAGTGATACACAACTTGATTTGCCTCAGGCCACTTTTGCACAATGATAGGAGGCAAGGGGCCAGACAAAAACAAACCTTAATTTTTAATATATAAATTATTCAAAAATTAGCCTGAACCTCTGTTGGGGGGGTCTGGAAAACAAGGTCTATTTTGATGCTTTTTTTAATGCACTCTGGTACATAATATTACATTCAATGTACATTTTTTTTTTTTTTAAATTCTAGTGTGAATCCATTTATTTTTATTGTTAATTGTGAAAATTGTCGGTGGGCCACTCGACACCCTATCTGGCCCACTGGCGATAAAGTGAGTATCTCTGGTTTACAGATTATACAAACAAGATATACATAACATGTCAATTAATGTGCTTTAGTGGGGCTGGTGGGCCAGCTGTTTTCAGTATCTAAGCTAACTGGCAGCTAGTTAAATGTAAATCTACTCCTATATTATGTCTTTGTTAAAATGTAAGGGGAAACACTTGTAGTCCAAATTACTGGTTACCAAATTGGGTTTCAATGTCTCTATGTGGCCTTTTAAAGGGTTCTTTGCTAGTTCTCAGCAAAATAAGTTTTATTATTCCATTCCCCTATACAGGTCAATTAAAGTGAGTGCATAAAAAATTGGACTAATTATAAGTAAACACTTTCAAGTGCTTTATGAACAGTTGTTGGGAGCCCCCTTGGTGAGAAAAGCTTTAGGACGGCATTTGGTCCTACCTTGGTGTATGTTTCACTCTCATGAACCATCACCTTCATTGTGAGCTCTGGAGACATCTGTGTGCTCACAACTCTGCGGAGAAAAGGCAGATTTCAAAACCTGTTATTTACAGAAACTATCCCACAGCAATGTCAGGTGGATTCAGTCCAAATGTCAGCTCACCTTCCTCTGAACAGGATACAGCCTGCTAACACTAGAGGGCAGCGCTGACAGGCCTGAAGAATGAGGGCAGCTTTGAGCAGGAGAAGTGGGTCAACCTGAGGACAAGAATTTAAATTGCTACCTTTCAGTTCTTGTAAAAGAAGGTGATGTAAAAAGGTGATAAAAATACAAATTATAACATTCATCAGTTCAACTGTAACATTTATCAGTTCAAATGCTGGGATATAATGTTACAGAATGCATGGTCATCTGTTGTTTAATGTGACGGATCTGGCATATCTCATTTGGCAAAATCAAGAAAATTGTACCAAGGATGGGATGTGACTAAACCTGCTTTGAAAGACACATTTTGTGCATTTTACTTGAACCTTTCAAGCAGCTAATAAGCCAGAAATATCCAAGATTTGATGGCATTTAGTTGGCAGCTTGTTCACTTCTACATTTATTCTCTAGGTGCAATGAATATGCAGAAATATGCCTCTGAGTATTTGCCAAGACACACTGAGCAGTTACACAATACCACAGCACATTGTGACATAGTCATATCCTGTCTGAGAACATCTATGTGCAGCAGCCCTATTAGAAAAAGCCACTGCAGGTTAAATGCAGATCTGTGTCAACATTTTGTACGTACATTAGTCGGGTCAATGGTCCTCAGGCAGCTGAAGATGTGATGAAGCTCTGAGGATCCTGATCGCAGGTGTGAGAGGTACTGCGCCCATCGTGCAGCCAGAGCTTCTTGGCTGTTGAGCTACAGTGCAATACACATATCAAATTATAATATGCAACTGTGTGTGACTTTTACTCTTTTGTAAATTACTCTATTATGTTGGTCTTGATGCAGATGCAATTTTTAAAAATAAATCATCATCTCTGTTACTTAAAGGAGCAGTGTGTAAGATTTAAAGGGATTTAGTGGAGTCTAGCAGTGAGGACTGCAGGTTGCAACCAGGTGAAACTTCTCAGAGGTAAAATTACTTTGGTGTTCATGAGGTTTTAATCGGGAGCCGAATTATCAGCCAAGGTCTCTTCCTCTCCAAAACAAACAGACCAGGTGATTTTAACCGGTAAACACATGTTTCACAATAAGAAATCAGTGTTTTTCATACGCTCTTGTCTCAGAGGGGCTTCTAACTACAGTGGTTGATGTGAAAACATAAATGGCCTTATCTAAGGCGACTGTCTGCTTGCTTTGTCTGTTCTGGGCAAATGTAGAGACAAGGTGGTGCAACATAGCGATCTCCGTAAATGAGGACCTGGTCCCTTTGTACCTCATTCTGAGGTAATAAAAGCACAATGCGTTACTGATTATTGACTAAACAAAACATACATTCCATTTCTGTCAATACATCCCCCTAAATCCAACACCACAGTATAAATGTATACAGCGTCAGACTGCACCTGGTAGCTCTGTCGGACGGAGCCATTGTAGAAACAAAACAGGTCTATCAGCTGATCCAGGAGCTCACAGACACTGACGGTGGGCACTTCCACTGAGCAGCCCAGAGCCTGGAGAAAAAACAGAAAGATGTCCCCAAAATAACTATCAAACAGGAAAAAATAAAGAATGAAATGAGTCATAAACAATTTGAGACGTTGCAGCTGGACCACCTGTGCTCTCACTCACCCAAAAGAAGTCATCTTTCATGCGGATTGCAAACTTGGTGCGGCGCAGCCTCAGTATGCGCACAGGAGAGGAGGAAAGTTCAGAGACACAGCGGCCAGCGCCTGCGAGCTGACCACAGAGCAGCTCCTGCTTATCTAGAGGAGTCTGAGATTAAAAAAACATGCAGTAATCAGCTCTGATGTTACAGAACTAAGAAGTTTGCGTGGCAATATAGACACACAAACATGCACTGGGTGATCACTGTCACACTGAACATACTCTCATCCACAATGAGTCAGAAAATAAATGTGGAAATATGAAGAGGATTAAATAAATAAAGTGGAAAAATAGAGAAATAAATAAAAGAATGAATAATAAAAAAAGTGTAAATATAAAGAGATACAAGTAGAAGTATAAATAAATTTATTTATTTGTTTATTTTTTTCTCTATACATGTATTTATATTTTTTAATATAAACTCCTAAAATAAATACATAACTTTTTCCCTGTATATTATCATTTACTTTTATATAATTTAATCTGTGTATTTGCATCCCTTTGTTTTCTTCCCTATTCTTTCCCCTAATGCTTTTGCCTGTTCAATACAATTTATTCTTTTATTTCTCTTTATATTTCCATATTTTTTATTTACTTATTTATCCCTCTTTATTTCTCCAAGTTTATTTACTTTTTCTTTTATAGATTTTATTTTTATTTTTAAGGCACTCTTATGACTCCATATAGTACAACTTTTTGCAACTTTTTGCAACATTTTATGAAAGTCAAACCTCTTCAGGGTAGAAGTAGCAGATTCCCTCTCTTGTTGGGTCACCTTCTCCTTTCACCTTGGATCCATCGTAGAGAAAGAAATAATTACACCTGCAAGAGATTCACAAAGAAATGTCTGAATTCTTTATTTAATGGCTAAAAGGCAAACACAGTTTCAGCCTCAGAGCAGCGTGTCTGGTTTGCCTGGACACTGGCTGTTGTTTTAGTCCATGCTTTACAAGAAAAGCAAAATGCAAAACATGTATTACAGTAGATGTTTTAATGCTCAACCAGCACATTTGATGTTTAAGGTGTAACACAAAAATCTGCTGCCACACTGGACTCTGAAGACAGCGTATGAAATGAATGGCAACCCATTTACTGTAGATAGTCTGTAAGGTGTCATGCAAAAACTGTACCGTTTGGTTTAATGATCAGCATCATTTCATTTTAGGGGCTGGATGATTGGATAGAGAATGCATATAAAAAGATCAGAGCAGTGGTTTGATATGAGCAGCTACAGACAGCAGTGAGCAGAGGTGAGTGTGAACCAGTCTGTCCTGCAGATTATGTCGTGTTTCTGTATCAGGACTGAGTCTCAGCTGATCTTACCTTCTCGAGTCTGGCGATATGAGCTCAGCCATCACCGACACGAAGCCCAGACAGAGCTAAATGTCCCTCAGTCATCAGTTATCTTGTATCCATGTGTTTCCTACCCGACAGGCTGAAGATGCGCTCCGTCAAGAGAAAAGTAGAAGTGAAGTTTGCAGCTGCGACTCCGACTGAGAGCTTACAGATCTTCTCACGCGCCGCAGACCATCAGCTGTTTGACACATTAACAAAAACATCCATTACACGTCACACACACGGCAGCGATGGATAATGTTTTCATCCACTGTTTGTGTGCTATTCGGCACCAAAGTGTGTCAGTTTGACAGACCTACTGCCAATTGAGGAATGCGGGTCAGTCACACGTAGTGGAAGTCATGTGAAAGTACGGCGAGCTTACAGGGACAAACTAGTGCGCCATTTAGAAACACATAAATGATACCCAGTGGTAGAAGAAATACAGATTTCACCAAGGATAAGTGGTTTTTGCTCCATTTTGTTAAATTCTGAATCTTCGGTGCTTTAATTAACAACTTGCCCTTACAATTATACCCCCCCCCCCGGTCTATTTTATTTTGTTAATTCATTAGTATTATTATTTTTATTAGATTTATTTCTCCTCGCCGTCATCAAGGTGGTCTACAATTTTGCTGTGTATTTTTACAGAAGGAACATCCTTTACTACAAATGTTCAATAACAATAATAATAATAATAATGATGATAAAGTAGCAATATGTCAATGTAAAAAAAGAAAAGGTCCATTACAATTAAAATTCCTGCATTCCTTAATTTTAATAAAGTAAAAGTGGTGTTACATTATAATATTACTGATGCATTAGTGTGTAAGCAGCATGTCACAGTAACGTGAAGCTCATAACAACTACTTCACCCTTGGGTATCTCAATCTGGAGCAGTGGATTATGTTTTGTGATATAATTAGGCCTATGATTTGTATGTGTAGCCTACTTAGTCATCTTCCAGCTCTAAAAATAATTCTTAACTTTCAAAAGGATCACAATGGCTTGAATATTACCCCCACACTTTAGTATAATTCATTGAACACTTTTAACACTCACAGTAGAGTGTGAAAAAAAAATCAGCCTTCCTCTATTTTCTTTGTGATAAACAATGAAAAATGTCATATTTTAACTCATGAAGCTCCATCTTATATCCAGCAGCATATGGTCTGGAGAGGTCAGATGGACCATGAATATATCCCTCACATAGGCTACACAATGGTCTTTACTGCAGGAAGCTATATCAGAACAATGTTACTGTCATCCACAGTGGTCTGCTCAAGGCTGCATTCAAAAGGATAAAAGTACATATTAATAGACTGTGATAAACCCAGAATATATTATTTGTATTGGCTCTAAGTGATACCAGCTTGTTCTGTTTGAATTCTGTTGTTTGCATGTACTTTGCCTGAGTCTGATAGAGATTAAATTGATTAAATCATTCAACCTTCAGGGAATTTCACATGTGCTTACACTGACTGTACACGGCGCTGTGAATGGGCGAGAGTCCGCGTATAAAATGGATCTGTACTGTACATCTCCCTCTGAAGCCATGATGAATCCTGTTATCAATGCTCGATTGATGATGGCTTCAGATGTGCACCGTGACCGCGCGCAGCTCAATCAGCCAATGGTTGGATTAAAAGCTCGATCTAACTCCAGTCAGCTCTGTTCGGGATACAGATCTACGGATGGGTTGCAGCTATTCTTAAATCAGGATTCAAGTTGATATTATAGATCTAGCCCTAATCGGTGGAGGTATTATTGTTTTCACAACAAATCGCTGAGCAGTCCGCCATCTTGAATTTGCCCTGTCCCCGTGCATGAGCGCAGCGCACTTTGTGCTGCAGAGTGGTTGGAGGAGGTCCAGACACCTCTGACAGAAACCTGCAGCTGACAGGAAGAGTTTTTCAGTCTATGGTTTAGACCTGCAAACAGAGAGGAGGGTGCTGTGGGTTCAGCTCATGTTAGGGACCCGTGTTGTGGACTGGATGACCCGAAGCACTGTCTGGACCCCATAACACATGTTGAGCAAACTGAAAGAAGTCAATGTTTCCACGAGCTTTAAGATACATTATTATTTTACATTTCAAAAATTGTTTTGCATACAGAATAAATAATAAAACACCAGAAGTAGTGTAAAAATAAATATACAAAAACAAAAATAACAAAAAATCATAAATATATAGCCTAAACCTAATTAGATGCAACATATATTTTATTTTTAACATGAGAAAAGGCTGTTTTGAATCATCCAAATTCCAAACTGTCCAACCTGTACTTTTAGATGTGGTGGTTAATTGAATGCTTTAAAATAGAATGCTTTTTACCTTTCTCCTTATATGCATATGGAACAGAAAGGCAAACGCTTGGAGAATAAAGTAACCTCCTCTGCTGGTGATGGGAGAAATCAGTTTCAAGCTTTTCCTTCACATTGTGTGTAATTCTACATCTCATCACAAATGTTTCAGTGAAGTGATGTGGGGTTGACAATGTATCCAAATCATTCACACAAGACAAACATAAAGCAATCTTGACTAGCCAAGATACCTGATCTCAATACAACTGAGTATGAGTTTAATTTGTTGAACACCAGACTCCGTGAAAAAGAAGTCATTGCAAAGCATTCGACACCAAATATTAAATATAAAGACATTCTTCATGTTGACAGTCCCTGTACTACTCATCTGATGTGGATGTAAATGCCCTCAAGTTAAAGTCATTCACGGTTTCATTCAGTCATTTCAAATCCCGTTGCTGGAGTACAGTTTGTCAATGAATGAAGTGTAACTCATGTGACAGTGGAATCCTCCTGGGGCACAGCAGCTCCACTTAGTGTACATGCTCTTCCCTGAAGTCACACTTGGCCTGAGCAACTCCTGCCAAGACATAAAGGGATTGAAATGACCTTTAGGTGACTAAATAGTCTGAGATCTGCACTTCTGTATGTTCTGTTGTATGTGTGGAGTTGCTGCAACAATAAAAAGTCAGATATGTGTTGATGGCAGAATTGCAGGGGACCTTGTTGCCCACTATTGCAGTGAACTCCTTGACTAATATATGTTTTTATAAGACTAATTACGTGACTGAAGCCATTTATTACAATTGTCTGACCTTAAATAAATCAAATAATGCTTTAACATATGTAGAATTTATTTACATGTTCACATCAGCTGCTTATCAAGTAATAAAATTTCTTTCTCCATCTTCCTCATTTTAAGTGCTCTGTATGCCATCAGTTGGTCGCGGTTCTCTATTTCCTTCTTGAGGTAGGAGCAGTAAAGGGCTCTTATGTCGTCTGTCTGCTTCTACAAAAGAAATGAAACAGCACATGAGCTCCTATTGTTCTTATTCTGTGTCATTAACATAGCCCACAGCTGACACATTAACCCCACCTCTGCACTTCTGCCTCCAGGTGTAGCACATGTTGAGTTGGCAGTCTCCTGGAAGCTGCTGTTGTGTACATCCTACAAGAAACAACCATCCATATGTTGAGTGTGTGAAAGACAAACACCTCATAAATACATGTTTAGAAGCACCTACCCCTTCAAAGTTAGTGTCACTGACGTCTGTCTCATCACCGCTCAAACTCTCTGGCTCAGTCTTTGTTACAGGCAGGAGGAGGACAGGATGGCCTGAGACTGTAGGGGTGGGGTCCAGTGTTGAGTTAGATTATGGAAAATCCCTGACGAGGTTTTAATCAGACATGAATACACCTACCACTAATAAAAGAGCTGTCAGATCCAGTCAGCGGCTCAATACAAGCACCACTAGGGAGGACCTCCACTCGTAGCCTGTTGTCTTTGTGCTGCAGCACGTCCTCTTCTGCAGAGGTCAGAGACGGGGTTGCTGAGCCCCCCTCATTCCTCATCACCTCTGCCCGTCTTCTTTTTGCTGCATAAGGATAGATTAGAGAGGTGAAACTCTGCCCTGGACATTATATCACTGAAGATATAGATTTGCAATAACAAGCCTACCTGTTTGCACTATGTTTTTATGTTTGACTTTCACTTGCTGCCATGTTCTTTTGTAGCCACTGTCTGATACCCTGGGAAGCCATGAAAAATAATAATATTGATGTGTCAGGCATGGTGACAAAAGTGGAAAGTTCAAATCCAAATGTTTAAGTGACTATTTTAAGTTAAATTCAAACAGGCACACTGATGTGAATAAGGCTTCTTACGTGTTTATTTTATCAGCAATTCTCTGCCAGGCTTCCTCTCTGAGTTTAGAGGCGCTTGTGGTGTTGGATTTGGCTGTCAGTATTTCTCTTTCTTCCTCATACAACTTTAAGATAAGTTCCTGCTCTTTAGAGCTGAAAAAATGTGCCCTCTCGTTTTTTTTCATCATCTGGAAATCTATAAAAACAAACAAAATAAAAGCAACACATAATATGTATTTATGGGAGTCAAATCAATGACTGCTTTGTATGTTTCATTATTTTAAGATACCACGAGCAGGGTCTCCTCACCTCTGTCTGCGTTCATGAGTTGTGATCCGGGTTTCAGCGTGCGATTGCTCTCCCCTTTGTGGCGGAGCGGGTGCGCGCAGTTATCCGAGATGTTTCAATGCTAGATTTAATAATCAAATCGTAACACAAATCCGTCGTCAAGCGGAATAAACCCGAGCTTAACGGACACGACAGTTGGTCACGGCACGCTTCACGTTAATAAATAACTGTCTAAGCGACGAAAACGGGGGAAAGATGACGGTGTTATGAAGCTGGATATCAGCGAGCTTTGTTAACCCAGGATTTTCTAATTCGGCTTAAGGCGCGTTCACGGGGGAGAGGCGGAGTCCGTAACAAAGAGAGTCACGTGAAACGAGTCCAGAGCGTCATAACCATAGACTGTATAACAGATGATACCAACCATTGTTCCACATTGGAAATTTCAAACAGATGCAATTAGTTAAGTTAGTATGTGAAATAACAGATAATGGCGATTCATGTCTGCAGTGGAAAAAGGCCTGTTTGACTTGAACAGTAGTGCTCTGCCTTTATTAGTTATTTTAAGGTGTTACTTCACTTTGTTTAATGATCAATTGCCCCCATTAAGTTCTCTATATTCCCAATTTAACATTTAGTTCTTTTTTTAGACACGGAATCTAACATTCAAAACAAGCTGGTATATAATTTAGCTTATGTTAGTAGGCAATGATGAGGTGTACAAGTGTGGCTGGAGGAGATGTTAATCAAAGGCTGCACACACTTGAAAAAGGTTCAATTAGGCACAAGTGAAATCACCTGTGTGTGCACCAAGGCCTTTAAATGGCTAATGAATAGAAATTCAGATTGGAAAGGTGCAGATTTACTGCTTTAATTTTCTCCATAAGCCACAAGTATGACAGAAGACCAGCATGCACAATACAAGGACCCTGAAACTTAAAAGTGAAAAGTAGCCGAATAAAACTCAGCCACCATTTATTTATTATTTCTATGCTTTTATTGCTGTGACCTGACAAACTGTTTGCTGTGAAAGAGGCCCATTTGTTTATAGTCAAGATGAAATGAAAAATGCCCTTTTAACCCTTTTTTGATCATCCTTACATTTTGTGCACCTCTTTAACAAAACTTGCCAAAAAACATAATTCATAATCTCATATTAAAATCCAATCATGTTTTCTTCCTTTACAACAAAATATACGTTTAAGGTTAAAAACCTGGAAGACAACATCACATCAACACACACGAGAAATAAAACATGGAATGAGGTAATAATAGTTACTTTATTTATGTTAATTCAGTTTCAGTCTGACATTTTGCTTTATGGTCCAAAGTAAAGGAGCTATTGGTTCGGGTGCCCCGTGGTGAGAGCACAGAGGTAAAACAACAAAACTGAAGAGTAAACTGTAAATGTAGGTGTGGTCAAGTAACAAATACAGAGGGAGGACTGGTCTCTGTGCCAGTTAAGAGGTCTGGAGGAGGGCTTTACTCATCATGGCCCTCATAGCCGTCAGGAAGGGCATTCACATGCGAGTTGTGGAAAAGGGTTTTGGTGCCATCGCCCCAAGGGAAACGCTGTAAGAAAAAAAAAGAAAAAGAAAAAGAAACATGAGGCAACACTTAATTACATTTCAAACAATCATTTTGACATTTGAATTATTTTACTGTAAACTGTTATGCTATTCCTTATTTTCATATACATATATATAATATTACAATGATGGATGTTTATATTTAACATATTCAATAATGAGGTAAACATCTGTAAAAGCAATCCCTGTGAGTGAAAAACCTCAGGCTTCAGACTATTCTGAATATCTTGTTTACAATGCTTTTTCTACTTTGGCTTCAAGCTGACGTAGATCATGATGGATTTCTTCACAGCAAGTGTTTACATTATTCAGGCTGCACAGCTACATATGACTACGTGCTAATGTCAGGGAAACATTTAATCTTGTTTACAGATGTTGTAAATTTCTCCCCGATTTCAAATAAGATTCCTGCTAGAAACATGTCCAGTTGTGTTGAGAGGCTTTTACCGATTATTGTAACAGAGAAAAGAGGTGCAACACTCCAGCTGCAAGTTCACTACTGCATGTAGCTACATGCTAACATAAGGGAAACAATCTTGTTCTCTGATGTTGCTAATCTCTCCCTGATTTTGAATCATATTCATACTGGGACATGACCTGTTGCTTTGACAAGCTTTTACTGGGGATTTTTCACAGTTGAAAGTGCAGCCATTCTCCATTACAGTCTCTCTCAACTGCAATGTCCAAGATGCAGACACCTGTAAATACTGACCAATCAGAGCAAACTGGGCTTTTTTGGGAAGGGAGCTTAAAGAGACAGGTGGCAAAACTGAATGTTTCAGAGAGAGGGTGAATACAGGTGTTTCAGTACACACAGAGTGAGGAAAATAAAGTGTTATCTGAACATTAAAACATGTAAATATGCTCTAGTATGAACCTTAAGTACCAATACAAAACTGAAAATGAGCATAAGTCGCATAAAGTCAGACCTTGCTGCGAATGCGGAGGTGAGAGTAAGGGACAAACTCTGGCTGTTCGTGGGTATGGTGCTGCTCTTTCAGGTACATATTCAACATGCACACTGCAACACCAGGTAGAGCAACCACAAAGGTGAGAATCTTCCAGGTCCGTGCTAGAAAAGACAGATAGTAATGAGTTGAATGAGTTAAACAAAAAAAGCATTCAGAGGTCCAATCACACTAACACTGCTGAGAATTAACTTTTGAGATGTATGACACTCCCAATGTGACATAGGAAAAAGAAGTTTCTTTCTGTTTTTTCACATCTTTGACATCAGGAATGTTGGACACCATAAGTAAAATGGTACTGTAGTGTGGTGATTTCAGATTAAATCTCTTAAGGCTAGAAAAAATTTAAAACCTGTTCGATTTCTGTGAGACATATTTTGGACTATCCTAACAGATGATATTACAGCGGCAGCAACAAATAAAGTGTAAATGCAGTACAGTTCCTGCCATCATTGTCTGCAAAAGACATCATTAACATGTATAATATAACATGTTTGCCCTGTATAAATCAGGAAACCATAATCAAATCTTTTAAGAAAAGGTTAATCAGCAGTTCCTGCGACAACTTCCATTAAAATAAACATCAATAGTGAGTTTATATACAAGTTTTATTACTTTCTGTTTGAATAAATGTACTGCTTGGTGATCATCAAGGTCAGGGGCATAATCATGCTATCTTGTCATGGTGCCAACTAAGGTGACATTCAACACCAAGCTTTCCGATCTGCCTTGAGATGATACATGAGCATCTCATTTACTGAGTATTATTAATTTGATCATTTTGCTGAGTAATACTAATGACATAAACCTTATAAAGTGGTCTAACACTAGCAAATAACTTATAATAATTTCTGCCGAGTTTTCTCTCTGCCTCTTTCATATAAAAAAGAATGGAAAAACAAACAAAAAATAAACTATAGTGTGTAAAATACATTGTATACATTGTGTTTTATGTTCACATTTTAATCCTATTTCTTTTGCATTGCTTGTATTACTTTTCCCCCCATATGCTCGTATCTTCTGCCTCAATTTCATCGTATCCAGGCTTTATGAGTGTAAATGTTTTATTTGATCTCGACCTGATTGTGTAAATTCAGTTGTTTGTTATTTGTATCTCTTATGTCTATGTTTAATGTGACAATGTGGTGAAACTATATGTGCTGCCATTCTTGGTCAGGTCTCTCTTGTAAAAGAGATCTTTGATCTCAATGGGGCAAACCTGGTTAAATAAAGGTTAAATAAATAAATTTGTGTATCTTTACTGATACTCCTTCACTTTCTAGTTGTTTTAAGGAGCTTGATTTAAGTTGGGGATAATAGTTTGACCAGTGACCTGATGGGACACTGTTGTTGCTCTTTAGCTTGCAGTGTTAGCGACACTGCTCTGCTTTCAAGCCATATAAATAAAGAGATACAATACACCACAAGAACACTAAGACATTATGGAGGACTGCGTGAATGCTTTACTGAGGGTTCAGTCTGAAATGACGATGTCTTCGGGTTAGACAGCTAATGTTATGGGCAACTTCTTCTACGAGCTGTCCGCTCAGGCAGGTTACTGCTAATGCTAATGCTAAAATAGCTAACGCTAGCTCAACAAGGTCACCGTCAACACGTCACAAGTTGTCGTGAAAACAAGTGACATTAGATAAAACCATAGACTTTCAAGAGGTGCTAAAATTACCTGCTTGGTCGCCGTGTCCCTCAGCAGCAGCAGAAAGCTGACGCCGGGTCTGGGTCAGAGAAGACCGCAGCAACATTTGAGAGAACCGTCCGAGGGCCGCCATTTTCCTTTCTGAGAGACGAAGAGACCGGAAGGACTTTGTACAGAGGTGTCACGTGGAGGCAGAGGGCACTGAGCTATGGCACTGAGCCACTAAGCGGTGAGACTGTGAACTACAGAGACTCAAGACTCTGCTTCTTCTTCTTCTTCTTCTTCTTCTTCTTCTTCTGTTTGGTTTTACGGCGGTTGGCAACCAACTTACTGGAGCATTACCGCCACCCTCTGGACTGGAGTGTGAACAGGAGAGTAACAGGAAACAAAATCAAAAAAAAAAAACAAAAAAAACAAACAAACAAAAAAAACACCCATTTAAATCCTTCGTTCCAGCCCTGTCTCTCTTAAAAATACCAATACCCTTCCATACATCTTGGATGATTCATTGAGGATGCTCTCTAAGGAAAAACATACTCTTGCTTGCTTTGCTGCCTCCTTTATTTTCTTCCTCTCCTCCTCATATGCTGGACACAACAATAACACATGTTCTACAGATTCCAATTCCCCACAACACTCACACTTTCCTGTTTGATGCTTGCCTATCATATTCAACGTCTTGTTTAGTCCTGTATGCCCTATTCTCAACCGAGTAATAATCGCCTCTTCTCTCCTCCTCCTACTGACTCTCCTCCCACCGCTCACCTGTTTTTGGATGTTGTACAGATGCCTACCTGTGTCTAAAAAATCCCACACCTCCTGCCATGTTATATGCATATGGTTCTTAATTATACTTTTTGCCTCCAATTTGCTCAACGCCACATCTAGTTGTATATACTGCGACTTGAGAGCCTGTTTTGCCAATGCATCGGCGCCCTCATTACCATCCACACCCATATGTGCTGGGACCCAGATGAAGCTGACCTGAATATCCTCCCGGTCTAGTTCATAAATAATACTGTATATTCTGCAAAGAATGTCTTGTCTGCAGGACTTCCCAGATTTGATGCTGGCCAGTGCTGCCATACTATCTGATGCCACCACAGAGCTCCGGCGCCCATTCGTTTTAACCCATTCCAAACTAACCATGATGGCTATCAGCTCTGTGGTGTACACTGCCAGTTCGTCTGTAGTCCTCTTTTTAATAGTGACCCTCTCCTCTGGGATATAAACCGCAGCGCCCGTTCGCCCAGTTTTGGGATCCTTGGACCCATCAGTAAACACCATTACTTTATTTACACATTTCCTCTCCAGATACCTCTGCACTACAAATGGCACGGACACCTGCCTCGGCCTCTTTTCAATTTCCCCCTGCAATCTCATATCCACCTCCGTTGGAACGACCGACCAGGGTGGGAATGTATATGTGCCCCTAAGACAGTACTGGATATTTTGCAGGCCTGCACTCTTTGCCCTGTTGTTGCATACCCACCCAAAACTCATAAAATTTGATTTTGTGTGTTCTGCACAGTCAAGCAAGACCGCCTTTCCTGGATGCATATCATTATGTCCTTGCAGACTGACCCAGTACGATAGCATTAACTTAATCCTTCTGAGACGCAGAGGCATCTCACCCATCTCTACCTGTACTGCAGCTGTTGGAGAGGTTCTGAAGGCTCCACAGCATATTCTTAAGGCCATGGCTTGTTCCACCTCCAGCTTCCTCAGGTGACACTCAGCAGCAGACATGTACGCTAAACACCCATAATCCAGTGCTGCCCTCATAAGAGCCCAGTAGATGTTGCGTAAGGCTGTTCTGGACGCCCCCCAGTCCTGCCCTGAGAGACATCTCAGCAGATTATTTATCTTTTTACATTTTGTTTTGACTTTCCCTATATGCTGACCCCACGTCAGTTTTTCATCAAACCAGACGCCAAGGAATCGGACTACGCTTACTTGTTCTAGGATCTGATCATACAGTTTTAGTGATACTGGCTTATGCCTCTTAGAGAAGCATATTACCTGAGTCTTGGCCACTGACATCTTGAAGCCCCACTTATTTGCCCACTGTTCCACCGCCTGGATTGCTTTTTGCATTTTCCCTTGCATGTATGCCAAATTCCGGCCTCTGACCCAGAGGGCCCCGTCATCTGCATAAAGGGACTTCCCTATGCTCCGATCAACCTGCGCAAACACATCATTAATCATAATATTAAACAATATAGGGCTACAGACACTGCCCTGTGGGGTTCCATTCTCCACTGGGTACATCCTGGAGTGATATTCCTTTACCTTAACCTCCACCACTCTTCCCTGAAAAAAGTCCATAATCCAATTGAACATCCTGCCCTCTATACCCATCGCCTCCAGTTTTATCAGCAAACCTTCTTTCCATAACATATCATACGCTTTTTCAATATCAAACATAGCTGCGATAACCATTTCTTTGTTTGTCTGAGCCTTTCTAATTTCTGACTCCAAACACAAAATAGAGTCCATAGTATTCCTCCCTTTGCGAAAACCACTCTGATATGGAGAGAACAACTCTCTGCTTTCCATTATATAACTCAGTCTCTCCGTTACCATCCTCTCCATTGTCTTCCCTAAGTGAGATGTTAACGCTATGGGCCTATAACTAGATGCCTCTGAGGGATCTTTCCCTGGTTTTAATATAGGCACAATAACAGACTCTTTCCAGGCTTTTGGAATTCTGCCCTCAACCCATATCAGATTGAACAGCTTCAGCACCACCATCAGCGAGGCATCATCCATATGCACCAGCATGCTATAACATACACTATCTTTCCCTGGAGCAGATTGTCTGGCACTTGAGATGGCTTTCTTTAGTTCAAACAAACTAAACTTACTGTCTGAGCTGTCAGCTGTTGCTACCTTCCTCACCATAACGTTAGGATTACTCGCTAGTGTTGATTCTCTCTGTTGCTTTGCTAAATCTGACAGGTTCTCTGAACTGTGCACTTTCACCAGAGTTTGGGCCAGCAACTCTGCTTTCTCAGCACTACTTACTGCTACTGCTCCATCACCCTGAAGTACTGGAATCTCATGATACCCACGAATGCCATTCATTCTTCTTATCATTCCCCAAATATCTGGTAACTTGGTCTCTCTACCTATACTGCCACAATACTTTCTCCAGTATGCCCTTTTTGCTGTTCTTATTGTTCTCCTAACTCCTGCCTGGGCCCGTTTATACTGTATTAACGTCTCCATCGAGTGGAGTGTCTTCAGACGCCTGAATGCTCTATTTCTCTCCTTTACCGCCTCCCCACAGCTCTCATCCCACCATGGAACAGCCCTTCTCTTCCTACTCCCACCACACTTTGGGATTGTCTCCTCTGCTGACTGTATGATTGCTGTTACAAGCTCCGCATTAAATTTGTCCACATCCTCCATACTTTCTCTGGATATTTCCCCACACCTGGCCTTACATACCTTCTGAAACTCATCCCAGTTAGCGCTACCAAATTTCCATCGCCGAACACCTCCCACTTCTTCCTGTCCCAGTTTCATTCCTACTCGAATCATTATCGGATAATGATCACTGCCCACTGTTACTATGTTGAGCACCTCCCATTCTGTGACACTTGCTAGCTCAGGTGAGACTAACGTTAAATCAGTTGCACTTTCTGTGTTCCTTACACTGTTATACCTTGTACCGCTCCCATTATTAATACACACTAGCCTTTCCTTGTCTATAAACTCCTCTATGCAGGTACCATTAGCATCAGTATTTTCACTTCCCCATAGTGTGCTGTGAGCATTAAAATCCCCACACCATATCTGCTTGCCCCGCATCTCCCCACCAATCTGATTTAATACATCCAGACTTAATTTCTGGCACGGATTATAATAATTAATAATTGTTACCTCGTCCTCCTCTGTCCATACTTTCACCCTGATTGACTCTTGTTCCTTCCCTAAGTTCATAACACTATATTTCACCCCCGTACGTACAAATATTCCAACACCCCCACCTCTGCCCTCTGCTCGATCTCTCCTGACAGCTGCATATCCCTGTAACACAAAGTCCCACTCAGGCCTCAGCCACGTTTCCTGGACACATAACAAGTCAGGCTTATCACATTGTGTTGATATAAAATGTTTAAATTCTTGACCATTTGAGATAAGGCTTCTGGCATTCCACTGAAGGATCTTTAAGACCATGGAGACCCCTCACCCCATGACTGAGATTGACTACTCCCAGTCCCCAGCATGTTCTCTATATTTTCCAGACCTAGTCCTCTTACTCCCAGGAACCTCTCTGCAGCCTTGACTATAATCTTAATTTTTTCCGTCTTCCTCTCAGTTTGTGCCGAACAATTAATTACTTCCACCATGAACAATACAAAGTCAGTTTTCTTGACAATCAGGGTATCCGTCTTCAATCTGCTACACCCTTCACATGGCCTCGTAGTACTGTTTTCAGTCTGTCTCACTCTTACTGGTTGGATCTGCACCCTCCTAGCCGCTTCAGCATAAGTGACCCCTTGCTCCACCCTTACTTTCTGCACCTCCACTGCCCTCTTACTAACTTCACATCCACGGTACGCTGAACTGTGCTCCCCCCCACAATTACAACATTTAGGCTGAGCTCCCCTCTCACACTTCCCATACTCATGTTCCCCTGCACACCGTGCACATCTTTGTTTTCCCTTACACACCGCTGCTATGTGACCATACTTCTGGCACTTGAAGCATCTAAGCGGAGGAGGAACATAAGGCCGCACATTATAACTCATGTATCCTAAGTATACTTTCGTTGGTAGTTGCTCCTCCTCGAACCTGATCATTACCGACAGGCTGTCACATTTCTCGCCGTTCCTCGTTGTTCTTAAACGTCTTGCTTCTACCACGGTCGCTCCTGTCACATTCCCTTTAATTTGGTCCATTGAAACTGCCAGTGGCACGTCTGAGATAACGCCTCTGGCATTTTGTTTATTTTCCAGTATAGACACCGAGACACTCTTCCCCTCAAATTTGTTCAGTCTAATTGCTTTCCCCTGCTGAGTACTATCTCTACACTCGACAAGCAGCGATCCGTTCCTCAGAATCCTAGCATTTTTGACTTCACCTATCAGTCTATTTATTGCTTTGGTTAGAGATATCGGATTCCACTCACCGAAAGATGCCCCCTCTTGCCGAAGTTTTATCATGACTTTATACTCCTCTACCTGGATCCTCCCTGTAGCCTCACTCCGTTCACTATCTGTTTCAAAGTTTGTATGATCTCCCTGTTGTTTCGTTTTCTTACGCTTTCGCCTCACTCCACTCCGTTTTCCTCCTTCCCCGCGATCAAAATCAAATTCCATTTCTCCCAGACTACTTCCTCCTCCGTCACTTCCCTCTGCCATCTCCTGTCCAGTCACAATCCAGTAGATAAACTTTAAAGTTAAGTTTGCTGTTATTCTGCCATTATAGGTTCATGGGAATTTTACATAAAATATAAGGTAAGTGAGTTTAAATTGTAGTCACTGTTGAGTTTCAGCCAATAAGATACTAGTGTCACAGCAGCAAGAACAAGACCAGTTGAGTTAATAGCTTAAGGTAACTTTTAAAAACATAAATAAATACATAAATAATAAAAAAAATGTGCATGATGAACTACTACCACATATTAAAATGAAGCATGAAAAAGTTATAATGAAAAGCACTACTCACTATTTACATGGTACACCAACATGAATAGTAAAGTTATTCACAAAATATTCACAAATTAAGTGAGGAGACAAGGAAGCTGCAATAAATAATCACTACAAAAAATTGCACTTGATATTTGGTGGTGGTAAAATATATTGTGTCCTCAGACAGCAGATAGTGTGAAGTATGTACTTTATAACACACAGCAGAATTTTGCAAAAACAGTTACTGTTGGCGATATGACTGACTTATAGTCCAATGGTTGTTTTGGTCCTCTGAAGTCATGGTGATTGACGAGTCCGATTGCAATAGTGATACATTGATGGTAAATTATTTCACTTGTTTTACCATAACAATCTGTACTGATATAGAGATATATTGTATGAATCATCTGTATCTATCATAGTGTAAAGTTTTCACTGCATATTCTAAGGCCTATGTCGATTTTTCCAACCTTTCCCCCCCCCCTTTTTTTTGCTCGTCTTGTGAAATACCGTATCCTTTACCTCTTCTAAAGCCAGTCCAAATAAAACAGTCCATGAGGGGAAAATCAATCTTTATGCACTCACCTCACAGATAAGCAGACAGCAAGAAGACATCACATTAAGTCAGAAGCAAAACAGGTTGAAAAACAAGTTCTATGGTAGCAAGTTCTCACTTACTGACATTGGGGTAATTCAAACTGAGAATGATAATGAGAGGAAAAATTAATTTATGTAACAACTGTATCGCCCAAATATTCTTATTCTTTCCCCCTGTTGCCGACATGTCAGGTAAACATCTCACATGTCATAGAAAATGAGCCAAGCTCTTACTTCCTGTGTCTGATCATGGGGCCACAGATAATGATAAATAATATTGGAATAATTGTAAGCACATTAAAATACACTTTCTGTAATTTAAATTCAGAAGTGTTCCTCTTTAAAGGGGAGGACTTTGTGTGATCTCACGGTCAGAGTCCAACCAGACAGATTCCGACTGATTCTGGATGATGAGGGTGAGTGATAACTGTCCACTTTGTTGCATATATTTGCTCCTGAAATTACTTTACCATTATTCTTTTCAGCATTTATAAAAATAATTAACTGTATATATATGTGAATGAATCACTGTGTCATGCATGTACCAATAACATCATCAGTTATACACTGTATAGTCAAAATGTCAATGAAAGCTATCATTTTTATCATAATTTAAATTTAGCAAAGCATTGAGTAAAATTGGCTGTATATATTTGAACATGTGTATAATACAGTATATAGTACGGCAGAATTCTCTTTTATTTATTGAGCCGTTTATAGTTAACATATTCAACTTGAGAACAAACAGGGGAGATTTAGTTGACCTCTTATTTGGAGAAAATCTTAAAATGACTATGGACCGAACACTTTTATTATCAACTATAATATTTTCTTCCAAATTGCAATCAACAGCAATATAGTGTGAAATATTTGTTTTACTGGTTTAAAAAATAAAAAGAAAAAAAGGCTTTTCCAAGAGAATCTGCTCTGTTCCAGTAATGGAGTCTCAGTATCACCAGTTTGGATCGTCTGATAACAGCCCTGTCAGCCCTGTCCCCGGAGAGCTCAGAATGACTGCGCAAACTGGTATAACATGTACACATCTTTAATTTTGACTCAGTAACTTCAGATGTCAATTTAAACTATGAAAAAATGTCTGTTGGTGTTTGTAGGTATGAAGAGGATAGTGGTGTATGTCCTCTACGGAGTTGTGGTGCTGCTGCTGTTAATTCTGCTGATGGTCACTGGGATAAAATGTACGACTCTAAACTCTCCAGTGAAGCTGATTCATTAATACAGTTTACATGCACAGCTAATTCATATTCTTTTTCTTATCATATATAATTTTTTGTGTCTCAAAGTTTCCCAGTTAAACAAGGAAGTCATTAATGTCAAACTCAGCCTGGAGAGGATCCATCTATCATCCAATTCAGGTCGGGAAATGGTCATCAGGTCTGGATATAATGATGTACAACCTCAGTACAACTTTTCTAAAATAGCTGTTTTTATTTTGTGGCTTTTAAATTAAAGGTGCAACTTTGCCGGAGGTCCCCTTGCAGAAAATTGTCCCAGTTCGTGGTAGAAACTGAATCCTTTCATACCAGTAAAATCAAAATTGAGTTTTTTTTCCACCATCAGGCTCTCTGACATGTCTTAATCTTCATCAAAACAGGAACATGTAGGGAAGGATGGGTGTCTTTCCAAGGGGGCTGCTATTTTCTATCCACCACTGGCCTGATCTGGCACAGAGCAGAGACGCAGTGCAAAACACTTGGAGGACACCTGCTGGTTCTGAATAATGTGGAGGAACTGGTGAGGTTGAAGTTTACGCTAATTTGGTTCCATATAATTTAAGTGAAGTTGTCCTGATTTAAAATAGTTTAAATAGCAGAGGACTTTTATTCTAAAACATGGAAATTTCCACAAGAAACTTGTGCTGGACAATTCACCAGAATGCAGAAAATTAAGTCTTTGATGCTCAAACTTTCACTGTGGGGGACCCCCAAATATTAAGACAAAACCTTTGCCCCTGCACAGAATGAATAAAGACCTCAAATAATAAAATTACTCTTTTTTTTCCCAGGACTTCATCTCACAAATAGTTGAAATCACACACAACTATTGGATTGGACTTGTGGAGCGAACACACGAGGGACACTGGAGCTGGGTGGATGGAACAGACTTCAATACAACCCCAAAGTAAGAGAAATGTGAAGGTGTATATATATATATATATATATATATATATATACAGTTTACCTCCATGTCTGTGAAAACATACATGCTTCACATATTTTCAAGGTGGCCACCCAAGATTAATGTTACCAGTTCAGTATTTGACCAAATATCTCTCCTTCTGTTCCTTAGTTATGACATTATGATGTCACAGTAAAGTTGACCTTAGCATATCAATTTCTAACTTCTAGCCAAAACCATGTTTGTGATGTCACAGTGACCTTGACCTTGACCTTTAACCAACAAATTCTAATTAGTTCATTCTTGAGTCCAAGTGGAGATTTCTTTTTTTTGGTTTGATATTTATATGTTTCACTATGTGTAACATCAGTTACGTCTCCTCTGCCCTCCCCTGTTTGTGTTCAGTTACTGGGATGTTGGTCAGCCCGACAACTGGGACTACAGAGAGAACGGAGAGGACTGTGGGCAGATTCACGGCTCTGAAAGACGCATACGCAAAAAGTTGAACGATGCAGACTGCGGCCTGCAGTATCGATACATCTGTGAAATCAGGGCGTGAGAGACAGTGAACCTGTCTGAACCCTCACCAACATGCCAGGCCTGTTTTTTTGGAAAATAATGGGTGAAATTAAGACTGAATGATATAAATGATGTGTTTCAGAGTAATTTATTAATTTTGAATTTCACAAGAGATGAAGTTGCATATACAGTGCGTTTGTGAGGTAATTGTTTGACAGTAAAACAATAATTATGAATACAATGCCACCTGTTAAGTTTTAATAAAGACACTCTTCAGTGTGTTTCTCTCTAAATCCGTTGGCTTATTTGCAGCGAGCTCTGGGAAGGTTTGCATTTTCTTCATTATAACCTGCCTTGGCGAAGCACATGGCTGCTTTCCTGTCACACTCACAGATGAACTTCTCACAGGGATCATTGTTATCTAAATGACAAAGACAGAGAGCAGCAGTAGAGTGAGATAGAACGGGGCCAACAGGAGAAAAAAAAATGTATCAAGAATAATGGCGTAACAACATTAATATTGAACCTTGTGTGTTTTTCCAAATCTGCAACTTAATGTTGTGTATTTACTGGAAACTCAATATCTAAAAGTTGCTGTGTTTGGAAGAGTTGTTGAACACTCACTCTGGCAGGTGACGGTCTTGCTGGCCTCATCACACCTGTAGCTGTATAGTTCAGTGTAGGGGTTGTCCAAGATGGGCCAGCAGTCATCGTGCTGCATGGCATCACTGTAGCACTGGTCGTGGACCTGACAGCATCTGCAACATACAAAAGCATTAAAAGGCAATTGCACCACTTTCCATACATCAAGATGAAGAAAGGCACCTACTTTATTGAGTTTCAGGAGATTTTAAATTTATCTAGGGCTGCAACTAATTATTATTTACAATATTGAGTCATTATTTAATTAACGGATTTACTGTTTAATCTACAAAATGTCAAAGAAAATTGAAAATGTCTACACAGTTCCCAAGAGTCCAAGGTGATATCTTTGAATGTCTTTTTTTTGTCCCAACAACAGACCAAAATATAAAGACATTAGGTTTAAAGGGACAGGTCACCCATAAATCAAAAATATATATTTCTCCTCTTACCTGTAGTGCTATTTATCAATGTAGATTATTTTGGTGTGAGTTGCAGAATGCTGACAATATCGTCCGTAGAGATGTCTGCCTTTTCTTCAATATAATGGAACTAGATACCACTTGGCATGTGGTGCTCAAAGCGCCAAAAAATTACAATCAAAAAAAAAAGAAGAAATGTCTCTTTCCCGAAACCATGACTCAATTACTCAACATAATCCACGGACCTTGTTGTGAGCAGTTTCATGTAGGGACTATTTTCTTTCTACCACAAGCTGAATGCCGTCTAGTTCCATTAAATTCGAGAGAAGGCAGACATCTCTACAGCCCATATCTCCAACACTCAGCAACCCACACCAAAACAATCTAGACTACTAGCTCTACAGGTAAGAGGGAAAATATGTATTTTTGATTTGTGGGTGAGCTGTCCCTTGTATATCATAAAGCAGCTTATATTCACATTTAAGAAACTGTAACCAATGAATCTTTGGACTTTTTGCATAAAAAATGGCCTGATTGATTTAGAGATATCAAAATTGTTTATAATTTTTTGTCTATTGACTAACTGATTAATCAACTAAAACTTTCAACTCAAAGTTTTAATTAATCAAAACTGGTACCAGAGCTATTTCCTCCTGAAGAAACACTGCCGTGGAAAAAAGGTGTGTCAGTGCTTTGAACAGCACAAACAAAATTCCATTCACCTCCATTGTCTTGTAGTCAAGAGAAGATATTTCACAACCTTTGCACATAAAGCTGAAAAGGTTGCATGCCACAAAACTGCCCCAGGTAAGTCAGAAAATGTGCATTTTTTGAGTTGCGATTTGACTTTTTTTTAGTTGGACTGCATTTTGAGTTAGGGGACTTTCAGAACAGGAATGCAACAAATACACCATCAGCAGTGTCACCTGTCAAGCTCATCCACAGGTGTGCCAGAGCCTCCCAGCCCACAGTAGCAGCCATAGTCAGCATAGTCCAGAAGCGGCCAGCTGTCAGGCACAGTGCAGAGGATCATCCCCCTGAACTGCCACACAGCTCGGTTACACAGCACTGGGAGACAAAATGGAGACACATCAGACAATACCCACCTCAAAACTTTCATACAATCATAACGTCCCTGATGCTGATTAATCAGACATGCAAAACTCTCAAAGTCATCCATGGAGGTTTTCTAATTGTGAGTACTTACGTGCTGGGAGGCTGAGAAGCAGGACGAGCAGGGAGTGAGTCGCATGCATCTTGCTGGTGAAGACATGGAGCGTCAAGCTAAAGCCTTATATTGACCCCTGACCTTGAGAGGTGGTCCTTTGTTGGCCAATTGCCAAGAGTCACCCAATCTCTTCCTCTATCCATTATGCAACATGTGTGCATATACTCATATGTAGAACATATACAACCAGTATACATACACAAACATATACACATATACACACAAACACACTAATGCTTTTTGCATACATATTTGGTTCATTAGTTTTGTCCTGCTGTATCATACATTGTTTTCATTTGTGTTAACATAAGACACTTGACACAGCTTGAGTAGGGTGCAGTGGAAAGTCGTGGGAACTCTGGCAAGTGCTAGCTGTTTGCACAGCTGTGAGATGGAAAGTTTTTAAATTCGACTTCTATTTAAAGACAGAAAAAAGCAAACCAGAGTGAGGACAGAGTGAACAGGAAAATAAGATCAAACAGATCAGGGAATGTTTAACTAGGAAATTAAAAGAAAATAAGATAAGATCAGAAGAAAATTGTAATACAACTACTGTCTAACCTTTGAGGGGTAAATAAATAAGTCCATGTCCACCTTATTATGTTGTGTTTCCCATGGATATCTTATCTTATTTACCCGAAAAGCTTCAGCTACTGATGATGAAAGTGAGACTTATAGCTGCAGCCTGAGCTGAACTTTAACCATTATGTTCTATTAAAATATTACACAGTCTTATAGCTGTTGTTATAAGGTTTGGCATCAAACTGAGAAAAGCTGATTAACTATTAGATGGTCACTTAGGCCTTAACTTGAACAAGATTTTGAAAATTATTATTACTGTATTGCCCATAAATGCATCGGGCCTAATTTATGATTGAACAGATGATGTGTAGTTCCATTTAATATCCTGCATGGCACGAGTGGAAGCTGTGGAATATACTGCATTTCTCTACAGTTTAATGAAAATATAGAATAAAGGTGATTTTGTTGCTTTTGAGTGCTTCTCCATAGAGATAGCTTTGAAACCTACAACTGACCAAACAGGCTGATTATGTGTTTTATTTGCAAATTGTCACACTTGTAATCGACGTTGGTAAATACGTGCTGAAGTAAACGGAATTCTCAAGATGAACTCCACCAACAAATACAGGACCTTTGTTAAGTAACCCCTCCTTTAAAGCTCCCACCCTCTTATCTCTCTCTCTCACCTCCTGTCATATAAGAACAGGCTGCGCCAAAATTCATGTTTTTTCTGATGGTAACCATGAATCTGACTGCTCCTCTGCTGCTGCTGCTTCTCACCGGTAAGACTGTCAATATGTGTCAGCCCTTAAAATTACACGTGTTGTAAATAGGTGCTGTTTGTGAAGTTATCTTTATTCCGACCCAGTGCTTCTCTATCAATTTTGTATCATTGTTTTTAGGATACGTTCTTCTGATTTGTTTATCATGTGTTCTTACTGTCTTTAACAGCTTGTATGGCCAGTGGTGCGCTGCTGCCCAAGGCCTTATGGCAGTTTGGGAAGGTGATCCAATGCCCTCAGCCTGGCGTTAACCCTCTGAAGTACAACGATTACGGCTGCTGGTGTGGCTTCGGGGGGATGGGAAGCCCTCTGGATGAAGTGGACATGTAGGATATGTTTGTGTTCCACTCACCATTTTAAAACAAATGAAACTTTGGGTAATCTCAAACGTGCACCCTCTCCTTGTGTTTTCTCAGGTGCTGTAGAGTTCATGATAAATGCTATAGGGCGGCCAGAAAGGCTCCTGGATGCACGGCTATTGTTGACCTTCCCTATGTTCTTGTGTACGATTTCACCTGTTCAAATCAGCAGGTGACCTGCTCAGGTGAGACTGTGGCTAAACTAGGATGGTTTGACATATTTAGATATTACATTAGAATTATTTTCAATGACTTTATGGTGAAATTCTACAGTGACACTGGTGAAAGTAAAGACAAAGAATTTTGTCCAGCTAAGAAACCCTGAGGACGTAAATCTAACACTGCCTCCACACACAAATGTGGCAGTGTTTTCCTCAAGGTGTGAAGTGTTCATGTAAGAGCACAAAGCAGTTTCACAGGCTCAGTTATAGTGATGAATTGAGTGCTATTTATAATTCTCAACTTTACAAACTTAAAAGCATTTTTGATTGAATGAAAACACAGCACTGTATGCAGACTGTAGTTTTAATGTGGATATAGCAAATTACACAAGGCTGCTTTTGTGGCTCTGTGTGTAGCTACTGCATACAACTGTATTTACACAGCTATATATGGGTATTACACAGCCAGGGATTGAGGTATGATTCCTTGTTGGAAGCACACACACTATAAACAAATGCTCTCCTAGTGCTTCCTAGCACTTTCACACCGGCACTTACTGCTAGTAACCACACTGTTCTGTGCAAGCGTGCTTCATGCTTTGTTATTATTGAGCAACTATCTGTTCATTTCCTGACTCCACTCTGTCCCCGCAGCTACCAATGATAAGTGCCAGGCTGCCGTGTGTGAGTGCGATCGGGTGGCGGCTCACTGCTTTGCTCAAACCAAATACAACCCTGACAACAAGAACGTGGATCCCAAAGTCCAATGTGTCGACTGAGTTGTATAACTCATGCAAAAAAAACACACAAGAGAACATCTGATTTTTGACATCTTTCTTGTCAACTTTTAATTTCTTTCTAATTTTTACACAAACCCAGATGTAAAAGGAGCTTGATTCTGTACAATGGCATCAGTTTGAAATAAAACATGCAAGTGAGATTCTCACCGTGAGGCTTTTAAGTTGAATTTCAACCTGTCTGTGTCCCCTTGTCTGTTTGTTCACGTATGGAGAGCCTGTCTAGCACAGATTACAGCTGTTCTTATCGCTCTTTTACACTTTAATATGTTACAGTTTCGTACAATTTCAGGTCACTTGCAAAGTGCAATATGCAAAGCAACACGAGGCTTTGGCTTTGCAAAGTTTGGACAGATTACCACTTATATATCACGTGTTTGGTCTCTCTTTCAACCAAAAAAATCTGCTGACACACCTAGAGTCATGTGAGGTTAGAATGAAAATATGTCTCTTGGAGCTTATGGTCGATACTGACTTTTCATAAGAAAAGAAGCGTTAGGGGTTGTAGTTACGCTTGAATCAAGAATTTATAAACGTTGTGCAGCAATTTAACTTTCAAACTGTTTCAGAACTTCAGCTTACAGTTTTGTAAAAAGACTTTGTGAGTGTTTTAAAATTGATATCAGGAAGATATTAAGGTGCCATCTTTACCAAAACAACCCCAGCAGCAGCTGTATACAACTACAGATGAATTATTAGCATTTCAAAATAAGAGGCTGGATCATGGCATCCTGGATTATATTGGCTTGTAGAGAAGAGTGGTCACATACTTCTTTTTGTATCGGTGTGTTGCACTGAGAACCATCACCCCATCCTAAAAGACAACGACAGGAAGAGCAATTGGATAAAGGTTTTCTGGATATCACTGGAAATTGTTGGAAATATTTTGATTACTGGCAATAAAAATGTGAGCTAAAATATTAACATTTTGGATAATGACAGGAATACACAAAAAAAAAGAGCTTCAGCGCAGAAAAAAAGGGAAATTACATGAAATGTTGGATTCATAAAGACACCAAAGTTTACAATGACATTACTGAGGATTTATGTCCTCTCAGAAGACAGCAGAAGCCATATAGATATCTGTTGTCCAACATTTCATGCATGTTCTATGTCATATGTTTGACCTGCAACACATAATGTGTACTGGATGTCCCGTTACGATGAACAGTGACACGTATATGTCCCGACAGTTTGATGAAATTAGATATTTAGCCTGTGTTACGGGGGCTTTGTTACCTTGATGGAGAGGGCGTACAGATGATTGAGCATCACATGGTTGGGCTCTGGAAGCAGCGTCGGGTCACACTGATGAAGATTCAGAGAGAGGATGTATTTGACTATATCGCATGCTGTCAACAGGTTTTTAGAGTGCTGTGCACCAGAGAGAGGGACAAGCACATATTCCAGTGTCAAGCCTGTACTTACAGAGATACCTGTGTCCTTGTTGAGCAGCACTTGCAGCAGGTGGGGAGGTAAGAAAGGAGGATGTTTGATCTTGTCCTCTGGCTTGGTCACATATGCATCTTGTAGGTAGGGGCCGGGAGGGGAACTGGACAAGTCTGGGAAAGAATGGATGTCACTGATAATTAAAATCTACTTAAAACATATAAGATATTATTTTTAAATGTTAAATGTTTAAGTTTAAGCTGGACTTTGATATTTTATGTTTTTGTGTCCAACTAATGGGAACAACAATTTTTGAAATTTGTGGGCTGCAGCCGGCAGCAGCAACAGGCTGCAATGTAATCTTTCAGGGCATATTCACACTGTCAAGTTATGTCTACTAAATGTGCTTTTTTGGAACTGACAGGCTCTAACTGTTATTCTAAAGCCCAGTTCAGACCAAAGGTTTGTGACAAGACAAGCTGTAACAGGCAACTACCTCCAAGGCACCGTTCTGCAACATTGTAAAAACCTGCTGGTTCACACCAATGCAACCAGATGAGACAGTGTATCATCTCTATGCAACAACTCTCTGTGGTTCTGTTCTGATTTCCAGCTTTTCAGGCTTATTTTGCGTCTGAATATAATTTTTGTCTTCTTGAAATATGGATGAGGATATTGACAGTGAGATACTGGCTACAGTTGCATTTGTAGTAGTAATGGATGGCGATAATCCTAAACAAAATGAGCATCAGATGGACTGTATTCATAATAAAATATGCCACAATAATATTAATAACTAGCGCCAATTAATCAATCTATGACATAAGCACATACAGCGAGCAGCAGCAGCAGCCCACCATCTGAAACCAGCACACCGTAAGGATGAAAACAGAGGGCTCAGCAGGGATGGAGCACCTTTGGTATGAACTGGGCTTAAATGTCTGACAACTTATGGAAAGGATCCCTACAGAAACTTTTTGTGAAAGAGTGAGATCCTTTTTGTTAAACCAGAAACAACCCAGAGAGAGTATAGAGGCTGCATATTTTCACATCTAACTGGGTGAACTAAGGGTTTATTTTTTACTAGTCTCTATATACAGACTCTACATTCAGTGAATGTAGAGTCTGTAGGCAAACCCCGGAGATCTTGCCTCCTGAAGAAGAGCGTAAGAGCCCTGGTTTCTTGTTGTAGGCTGTTTGTAGTCCTTGTGATATTGACTTATCACGTTTGAGCTGGCTGCAGTTGTTGCCAGGTTAAACGGTCCGTGCTGTGAACTAACGAGGCGGAACATAATTGGCGTCACTGCAAACTCTGTATCCATGGCAATGGTTCAGCATATTTACTTATATATAAACGGAAGTCCGAAACGGAAATTCGCCTCCTCCGCCCAAATCAAACCGGAATGCCAGCCGTCTGCTGGAAGTCAGACGCCGAATACAGCCGATGGGTTCCGAGAATGATTTTTTACCAGACCAAAGTTAATGATTGTTGGATGGTTTTTGTGAGTTTTATCTTATTACTGTCAACTTTGAAATAGTGTGTGTGTGTGTGTGTGTGTGTTTTATGATAATAAAATCACTGTTTATTTAAATGGGGGTCTGGTGGGTTTTGTGATGGCCATTTTGGGGCTTTTTCTGGTTAAACAAAAAGGATCTTACTCTTCTATCTCTACAGGGGTCCTTTCCACAATGTTGTAGGACACTTTAATAACAACAATAATAACAACAACAAACAGGCACATTTAGTGGATGTAAATTAAGGGGGTCCAAGTTGAAAAACACCAAAGTTACCCTTTGACTTAACTTTACTATAGGCGCTGGCTTCACTGCACCTGAATAATTCAGACAGCGTAACACAGGCCTACATTCTAATATTAAAAGCGGATTAAAACACCTTTTGAACAATATTTGGCCAGTACCTGAGATATCTGCAGAATCCTCGGAGTCAATCCTGAGGGCATCAAAGACTTCAAAGTCAGTCCTCTTCACCTGGATGACATTATTAACTGTGCCAGTTTTAGCCGTCATCACAGCCTGGGAGAGTGCATAGAGACATTTGATGCAGACAAAATTAGCCTATGTTAAAGGGCAATAAATACCAGTATATTGGTGATATATCATGTGCCATTATATATTATAAAAAAAGGTGAGTTAACTCTAAAACTTAAGATTTCACTCACCCCAGTAGGATCCAAAGTCCACTGACCGTCCACACAGAACTTATACTGGTGCTCTCCCTCCGGCAGGTCCACAATAGCCACAAAGTTTTTCACACTGGGTTTAAAAGACAACCATGTGTTACATCTCCATCAGTACATACAGATCAGGGGTTACAATCTTGCGAAGCATTCTGCACAGGTGAAACTACCTTCTGTTGAGAGGGATCTTGGTGGCCCAGTTGTTAAAAGATCCGGACACAAAGACTTCTTTGGCATTGCCCTGCCACCTGAACACAGTTGGTCTGGCCTGCATTGGACTTTTGCACTCACTCTCCAGGTCCTGCTGCCAGGCCAGAAATTCCTGCATTTCCTGTGGAACCTGGACAGCATGATATCAGGGGATTGTTGCCATGTTAATGCGAGCACCTTCAGCCTCTAACTCTGTTACACAACACTTCCTGACTGAGCGGCCTGCTGAGAGGGAGCTGACGATGGAGTCGACTGTTTAAGGTGTTTCTGAAAAATCTACAGTATGTTTTTTTACAACCTCTTTGATCTACGCTTCATTTTGTGCCTCCTCCTCAGAAGGATTAATGAGAACAGACGTAACACAGCCTCTTGGACATTTTCGTATTTGGTTTCTGTCTGGAATTTTAGGTAAGTCAAATAAATCCAAATCTGTTCTGCTCATACAGAATATTTGGCCTTGTCTGCATCTATGACACATATTTTGCACGTGCTGAAATTTTTACACATTTTTGTTAATATTCTCATATCCATTAAAATTGTATGGACTAAAAATGTCTATACCATCGTACACCATGTGAAAATAATTTTCACACTGTATTTCAAATGTATATACATTTTTATATTACATTTTTTATTTGTATAAAATCATTAAATATTTGTTTGGATGACTACAGCTATGTTCACAGCTCAAAAATGTGTAATATTTGTATTATCTAATATGTGAATATTTCAATTCTCTTCAGAGGTGTGAGCTCAAGTCACGCAACTTTGACAAATTTGATGACTTATGACTCAAAAACCTTGCAGCTTGACATGGACTTTAACATCAATGACTCGTGACTTCACTTGGACTTGGACTTAGCCTTTTGACTTGAAAATACTTGATACCTTCCCCTAAGCCTGTGCCATGAATCTATTTATTTCCATTTAATTCCTGCATCAGCTAACATTAACGTTATTATTCTCAGCAAATTGACATTTAATTCCTCAGAGACTATTTGTCTGAACCAGTCTGACAGCATTCAGTCACGTTGCAGGAGAAGAGCCATGAAGAACTGATGTTATGTTATGGAGTGCCAGTTGGAAAATATTATACTAAGAATGATTTTAATTGCAGTATGCACAACGTGCGAGTCAAAAATAACCTGTTCTAGCAAATGAATACAAACTTTAAAAAGCATTTGGGATTTTTGTAAATGTGATATATTATCACTCCGTTGTTAAATTGGCATTACATTAGGTGAAGAGCACATTATGACTTGTTAAGAAGTTGAAACTCAAAGTTCAGGACCTAGGCCTTGAGTGCAAACACTTGAAACTTACTTGTGACCTGGTCCCACCTCTGATTCTATTTGCAATACCTCATCAGTATT